AAAGGAGAAGATGTGTCCCTTACAGGAAGGGCAGAGAAGGTCCAAGCTTTCCAGGAACCTCACCATGAAGAAAGATTAGAGGAACCCTGGGAAGGCCAACTGTAGTAACAGGACCGTGCCCACAATCAGCCCAGCACAGAAGAGCAGCAGCAGCCAGATGGGGAAACTCCCTGGGAAGAGAAAGAACATTGAATCACCAAGAGTTTGTAGGAGACTCCATATTGGCAGGACAGGACTCCCATCCCAGATTTAAATCCACCATCCCAGCTTTGAACATACGCCGGCAGGCAATCTGGTGCAGGCGGCAGCGGCTGTCAACTGCCACACTTAGCAGGGCTGCCTCGTTGCTCTTGAGCAGTTCTGGAGTCTCAGGCAGGAAGGCCACAGCAGTGACCACTATGCCATGTGCTTCCCGCACATAGTACAGCCTCTGGAGAAGTAGAAAGAAACACAGAATTGGAGATAACCTGCCAGTGACTCTCAAGAGTCAAGGTAATCCTTTCCTTTCCCTATAGGGCTTGCTGCAAGATCTTGCAACTGTACGCATACCAGCCCTACGCCAACCATGAGTTTGAAACACTTAAGTATCAACATCTTCACCCCTCACTCCAACAATGGCTTGTGCCTTGACCAGGCTTTGTATGTGCTGGGGTTGGCCCAGCTAGCTGAGCATTATGTATACACAATCTTGGAGGGGTAAACTCATACCTGCAAAGAAAAGGCGACGAAGATGGCAACCGAGCCTGTGACAGTGCCCAAACCCAGGAATGTGCCTGTCTCACTGAAAGCATAGAAAGAGAGCCATGTGCATTCCCCATAACATTCATGTACACTAATACATAGAAAATTGTGTTTTAGAGGATTAGCATTTCCTCTGAAGGCCAAGCAGGCTCCAGTCTTGAAGTACCCAAACTAACTCTTCAAGGTGTTTGCAAAGTCCCTTCCCATTAATCTTACTGGCTATTAGAGGAGAAATGGATCTGAGAGACTATAGTTTGCTATTACGGAGCTTCAGTTTCTATTCGGGCACACATCTAACACCACCATTTTACAATGTATAGACCGAGTTCGTATGACACAATGAACCACAAGTGGCCCAAGCGTGCTATAGCTAGCATGTTGTGTAAATCGAGTCTATATGGTTAAATATAGTGCAAGTGCAGAAAACTTGCAGAAAACCACTGTTTAGGCATCCTTAGGTTAAGGATGTATGAAAAACAGAACCAGAGTTTCTCTTTCTTCTGTGAAGGTGGAACACAGGAAAATCAAGCTTGCAACGAAGTTCTCACCTTACAGAGAGGCATGAGATGACCTCATTGCCACAGGGACGAGTGAGCAGGGGCAGGAAACTATGTCCATCCCATTTGGTGATGTAGCAGGGAAGCGGACGTCGTTCACGCTTGTAGGGGATCTGCACTGTGTACAGTCGCAATGCCTTGGCTTGGTCCTCAACTGTACCAAACCTGTGGAAGAAGGAAGAAACATCCAAATAGAAAGTACACATGTATGGTCCATACCAACTGTCTATGTATTTCCCTTACTTGCAAGACTGGTAGCGGTAGGTCTTGTCTGGAATGCCTGGAAGATTTTCATTCCAACGCAGACCTGTCACCATCTGATCTCGTTGCCACACACAACACTGGAAATCCCGTCCCACTGTCACCACCTGGAGAGATGCAATATGAGCAGCCATGATCCCCAACCGCCATTACTATATCTGGCCCATAAAAACAATGCCAGCCAGTCTTTACCCAAAGATGAGTTTCAACTATTCCACTGTGCTTCATCAAGCTTTTTGCATATGAGCGACCATTACAGTCAAACTGTTCTCCATCTTATGCATCTTTAATGGGTGCTCTGTGTTCTGACATATTTGTCTCTGAATGTTTTCCTTCTTTCTATCTTTCCTGGAAACTATCAAAGCCAGCAGCAACCAAAAATCTGATATTGTACTGGTCCCTGTTGGATTTGAAATCCCTTCCCAGTTTTCAATGGTATGCACATTTCATACACAGCAGCAAGGAGTTTGTGATAGGTCTGACAATCCCTGCTTTTAAAAAGCTACTTCTTTTGATTTCAGAAACTGTTCTGTGCAATGGAAAGCATGCTCCAATATGGAAATACTGCATTTTCTTGCTTTCTGTGCCTTCTGTCTCTTTTCTCTATTAGCCTTTCCTTACTCCAGAAAGAAGCAGAAAATGCTGTGGACTGTCAGAGGCGGCTACATAATTCAGTGGTCCTCTACTCCAAGGCTATTCAACTTACCTAGATGAAGAATGATACATAATTCCTTCACACTCTCTTTCACATTACTCTTTTGAGCAAAGGCTATTCATCTATAACACTAACCATTATTTGTTTGACTACGGTTAACTGAATAATCTATAATTGCCTAGATTCACATCAACATGAAAGCTGGCTGGGTGTCTTTGGGCAAACTGGAGAAAGAATATTTTTTGAGTGTTTTTTCCCCTTTGGATGTGGGGGGAGGATTGCCATATGTTACCCTCTTGTGACAAGCTTTTTGTTAATTATCCTATTATTCCACTACCACTACTAAACCCCTTAGGAAATCCTTTCAGACTTGAAGGTAATGGCAAAATGTGGGGAAGGTTCAAGATAGCAAAGAAAAAAATTAGTTTTTATTAAATACCTTTAAAAAGAAATGGATTTTTAAAAACTGTTATTTGTGCAAATTATCTAAGTCCTGATAATGTCTACCACTACGTTATCTCTCCAGAAACTACTTCTATCCCTGTCTCCTTGGGCCATCTTCAATTCTGCCCTATCACTTGCTCTTCCCAAACCCTTCTCTCCTCTCGTTCCCTCATCCTGCTGGAATATAATCTGGGAAGATTGTGCAATATTGCCTTCTTCGTTGGCACCTTAGATCACTTCCCTTAATAAGCAGTAGAAACAAATAAATCCCAGTCTTCTCACCTTGTTATCAGGACCCAGTGCTATATCCTCTATCTCACCATTGTGTGCCTGGAATTCAAGAGTTTTCTTCATGCTGGGAAACTGTGGAAGATGTAAGACAGAAGAGATTTACCATCACCTCCATGTCCACGCTCCTAATGTACGAAAGAAGTGCTTTGCAACCCAAAAGTCTTCCTCTTCCTCTCTCCGCCATTGTAGCTCCAGACCAAAACCTTGCTCCCCAACAACACAATAGGCCATTTCTTCATCTCCCCATACAGGTGTACCTCCCAGACTCGCAGGAAACCATCCACGCCACCAGTAGCCATAAGGGTATGATCATCACTGAAGCACACAGCCTTCTGTAGAGTATCTGGGCTGGTGTCTGTTTGGACACAGTGCAAAGTTTCCACTGCCACCTCCGTCATCTCCCTGTGTGTATTGCCATTGCTTTTCTCATTGGGGACAGGGGCCTTGCGTCTCCGTAGATCCTTATCACCAGCACCTAAAGGCATAATGGCACATAAGGAAATATTCCATAAACCTCTCTGACCAACAGCTCCCAACTTTCCTCTCTCTTCTGCAGATCTTGTCCGTTTTCAGCATCAGCAAGATTTGTAAGTATTGCTGTTTCCACTTTTACATTAGTTTTTAGACTGCTATTGTTCTGGGCCTTAATATATTAGGAATTCAGTTCTGTAGCTAAATAAATGTCAGGTTCTCACCTGCTTTAGCACTATCGCCGCTGCTGCCACCTGTTTTCTGCCCAGATTTAAAGAGCTGGAAACTCAGGATGTGGCAAGTAGCATCCTGCCCTGCAGCAATAAAATTTCCTGCCAGCGCCATAGTCATGGTGGCCCGGGTCTCTGTGTCATGAGCATGTAGCAGCGAGGCAGATAACTTGCCATCTCTCCAGTGCAGCTGCAAGAAATGCTTGGGGAACAAAATAGAGAAAGGAAGGATGAGGCACAACTACTCCTGCAAAACGGCCTTCTTCCTTATCTACCCAAGGGCAAATCTTGCCAGGGATGACAAGATTTCTTTCCTTATCGTTGTACCAAAGAATGGGTACACAGAGGGCCCTCCTTCAAGCAAGGTTTTGTCCTTGCCTGAAATGACAACCATAGTTCCTGCCTAGCCACTCTTCCCTCTTGGTAGTCCTTTTCATGTTTTCCTTTGGAGTCCATATATATATTTATTTATTTATTGGTTCAATTTATATGCCGCCCTTTTCCGGAGACTCAGGGCGGCTTACAATGCATTAAGCAATAGCCTTCAATACATACTTTTGTATATACCTGCTTAGTAGGGCTTTTTGGCCCCCCCTAAGCGGTGTTCTTTTTTATACAAACTCAGCTTATTGCCCCCACAATCCGGGTCCTCGTTTTACCTACCTCGAAAGCATGGAAGGCTGAGTCAACCTTGAGCCTGGTGAGATTTGAACTTGCAGTAATTGCAGGCAGCTGGTGTTACTTAACAGTACTTAAGTCTGCTGCGCCATAATGTTCCCTGTGCCCCAGCCCAGACCAAGGAGGCATGCTTAACTCTTCCAGGTTTATGATTTTTTTTTTCATGCCCTATTTACACTGTGCATTTCAAAAAGCAGCTTCGTCCAATGCCGCACAAACCTTGTTCTGACAGTTGCAGCAAACACCACCACCCCTCCCCATTCCCCGCCTAACTGAGTGATGGGGTGCCGCTCTAGGGGCAGGAGGGGAGCTCCCAGCCAATGCACAGAGGGCAGGAGGAGGGGTGTGTGCCCTGCTCCCGTAGTTTCCATACCAAGCCATTGGTGATCCCCGTCTTGGCAGCGCCGCCTCCCCCCGCGATCAGCGCTAGTCCAGCTTCACGGTGTATGCGGAGGGCATAGAGCGGGAACGGAGCCCGGTAGAGCTCGGGCGGCCGACGAGGGGACATGACTGGATCAGCGAAGCCGGGATCAGCGGGGTTCAAAGGTCAACTCATGCCAATTCCGCACTGAGCTGTTCTTTCCTCGGGTCCCCTCCTCTCTAGCGTAGCTCACGGTACAACAGCCCTTTGATCTCGACCACGCATGCGCAGATCCGACCTCCTTTGACGTGGCGCAGGCGCAGAATTCTCAGCACACGTCGGCACAAGGAGGACCGGCCGGCGAGAAAACCTTCGGTCGCTTTAAGAGTCAAAAGAAATATCCACGTCGCCGCTGCCGCCGCTGGGCGTCTGTAGTTAGGGCGGAAGCCGGGCAAATGACGCGGTGTTTAAGAGGCGGAAGCAATGTTAGCGAGCTGTGCTCCATTTTCTTCCTAAGGAGAAGTTTCAGACGTCTTAAAAGCAGTGTTTCTCAACCTTGGTAGCTTGAAGATGGGTGGACTTCAACTCCCAGAATCCCCCAGCCAGCAGCGCTGGCTGGGGGTTTCTGGGAGTTGAAGTCCACCCATCTTCAAGCTTCCAAGGTTGAGAAACACTGTCTTAAAGCGATAGGGCAATTGCTGGAATTACCGCCATGCTAATTTCTGCGCGTGCACATCATGCATTTTGTGCAATGCATCTACTCACTGTACTAGGAAACGTTCCCATGAGTGGAATTAGTAGCATCTTTTCTGTTGTATGGCCATGGGTTTATATATAATGAATTTTGGAGAATATTCCGCAGTGTTTCCATGTAGTCTTTCCTCTTCTTCTTCCTGATGTTAGGACAGATTTAGACTATATACTTATTTGAGTTTTGTTTCTGGACCTTAGGACAGGGGTGGGCAACTGTGGCCCTTTTACAACTTGTGGACTTCAGCTCCCAGAATTCCTGAGACAGCCAGGCTGTCTCAGGAATTCTGGGAGTTGAAGTCCACAGGTTGTAAAAAGGCCACAGTTGCCCACCCCTGCCTTAGGATGATGTAGTGTTGGAAGAAATGTCCATCTGGGTTCAGCTCCAAGTGGGGAAAAAGACACTGGAAACATGGAGACTGCTTGGAAAGATGGTTTAATGGTGGACAGGAATCACATGGCTTGAGTTCCTGAGCATAATCACCTGGCTTGAGTGAGTTGAGTAGAAAACAAAGAAGCCCCAGATGCTGGGAGTGCCTTGGTTTTATGCCCTCTATTGGGCCCCACCTCTGAGTTTCTTGTTCCAGTATAAGAAATGTATCCTGATTGGTTTGCCAAACTCCCAGGTGGTCTTAGCTAATTTAGTAGGTTGTCTCTCAAGCTTGCTTGAGTCTTGCCATGTGCTGAGTTTCTGTTGCTAGATGGGTCCTATTGTGTTGCAGATGATGGCCCATTGACAAAGATAGGGGGAAATGAGTGAGCTTGGCTGAGGCCTTAATGGCCCATTGAGAAAGGTGTGTGGAGGGGAGGCAGGAAGCTTTGTCTTTAAAACAGGTTTCTCCATTTCTCATCCAGGGAAATATAATATTCTGCCTTTTTAAAATATTTCCTAAACTATTTCATTCTTCTAGGAGAGGGGTGAGTGCTAACTTCCTACAATAGCTATTGTAATTTTTTTTTTAAAGATGCACTTAAATCACAACCCAAGAGATGGAAGGAGCCAAGGAGATAATACCATCCTAAGAACCCCAAAGCACCCCCCAAAGAGAGTTCCAAAACCCCACTTCAGTCAGGATTGCCAACAGCCTCCAAGGTTATCAGTGGGGCCCAAGTACAGTTGGAGTAAGTGGATCATTTTTAAAAATGTGTATATTTGATTTATATCCTTTCTTCTCAGAGCTCAATCTGAGCTCCATTTTCACAACCATTTTGTGAGATTGGGCTAAAAATGAGTGAATGATCTTCTAAAGTGACCTAGTGAGTCACTAAATGAAACTTATATTAGTTTTTATGTAAGGCTGAAAGGTGAGAAAAGAAAGGGAAAGAAAAATGTATTTAATCAAAGAGCCATGCAAATAAATTGATTTTGGATTTATCATTGTGGGATGGTAGCAAATATACTTTTATTCCTAAATTTAACTGAGAAGAAATTACCGATTTTTTATCTTTGTTAAAAAGATAGAAGTATCTGTCATGTCCAACTCGAGTATGGTGCTCATCTCTGTTTTTTGGCTGAAGGAACCAGCATTGCCTCAAGACATTTTCCATGGTCGTGTAACCGAACAGTTATTTGTATCATCTTTATTATTTTTTACAAATAACTGAAGGCAGCAAACCCACCACCTCTTAATTTCCTCACAACAACCTTGTGAGGTGGCTTGGTGTGAGACAGTGTAACTGACCCAAAGTCACCCAGCTGGCTTTCATGGCCAAGACGGAACTTGAACTCAGGGTCTCCTGTTTTGTAGTCTATGCCGTAACCACTAAACCAAATTGGCAAACCGAATAAATTTGGTTTTTGGCCCACAGCCATCTGTCCCTTCCCAATACAAAAGCAGCTCCCTCCCTAAGCACATGATAGTATTAGATTGTTGGGATCCTGTTTCTGCCCTACAATTAGTTTAGTTTATCTTTTGCAGAAATAGCCCATGGAAGTCCAGTCTTTTTTTGCAGATCTTTTCTTAAAAACTACTTGGCTTACTACTTCCCTTGGTCAACTTCCTCAGTCAGTATCAGCCATGGAAGGGCTAATAGTTGGGAAGCAGAAGTCATTGCTTCTCAAGACAGACAAAGTTATGTAAACATTTAAAAAGAATAACCAAGCATCTACTGACAAATGTGCGTATATGGCTAGCTTCCGGCATTTTGCAGTAGGTACCTCTGCATCTATATGACTTGTTCATTTCTGTAATAAAGTAACTGATTGAGCCATATCAAGTCTCCGAAGTTTCTTCTGTTATTGAATATGAGAGGTTAAGAGATACTAGACAGTTTATACCTATCACATATTTGGTAAATCTGAATGGCCATGTAGCTTGGACATTAGCTCACATGCCTGTAATGATTTGCCTCTGTGAAGCACTTTGCTGTCATCATCCAAATGGCACATAGGAATAATCTGAATGAATAAAATCTACTGGAGAGTCAAGATGCAAGCAATTTGTCTATCCAGCTGTTCATCAGTCATAAGAATGTGATAGGGAAATGAATGGCAACCAAATTTATTTTGATGGAATCAGAGGCACAGAATCCTTTAGATATACAAGTGTTCTGATTTGCTGTAAAAAAACATATGTGGTTTATCACACAATTGGATGTGTTTTCATATGTATATTCAGCAATATTATCAATGGGTTATATATATACCTAATGGTTATATCCCATTATTATTTCATACAGCAATTTCAATTCTCTAAAGGGGCATAACAAACTCCAAATTAAAAAGTTTCATTAAAATAAGCTATGCTGATTGCCTTATTTGATGGTTTCTGGGCTTTTTTTCCTCCTGTGTGTGAAAATAGATTTGTCTTGTTTCTCCAGAATATAAGAGCAAGATCAGACACTCTAATTAAACTCTATCGGTTCTTAGTCCATTTCAGGATTCAATTAAAATTGTTGATTTTATAAAAATTATGTATCCTAAATGAATAGTATTTTCCACATATTCCTAATACTCATCATCCTGTGATAATTACTGAAGTCCCTGTATGCAAATCCAGATTACTAGGCAGCTTATTGGAAATGGAAGCTTTTCAGTGAAATACTGTCCTTCAAAGGTTGAATCTATGTATCTGTTTTTAGTTCCAGGCAAATAATTTCCCCAATTTTGTGTAATATACAGCAACCTTAGATTTGTTTAGGATATTATTTGTCTGGTTTTATTTTACTAAAATTATTTTGCCTTTTAAATTTTGAAAGACTTTATAATACATACAACAATTATAAATTATGTGTTATTTCAGTATTTTTTATTTCTCTGATTTGGGACCTTGTAAAATAGCTCAAAGAATTTCAATTCCTACATAGTATAAAAATACAGTTCATTTAATCTAAACCATGCTAATAGACTTACATAAAATTCTTCTCTGCAAATCATAAAAGATTTTTAAAAATAACATATTTCTCAAATATAGTTTATTAATGAGTTTTTCAAACCTTTTCAGGCTGTGAAATGAAACCTGCTTGTTAAAAAAATATATCCTGGATTCCCTGATTAAATATGGTGAATGTCTGATTAAATGAGCCGAGGTGGCGCAGTGGTTAGAGTGCAGTACAGCAGTTACTTCAGCTGACTGCTAGTTCAACAGATCAGCGGATCAAATCTCACCGGCTCAAGGTTGACTCAGCCTTCCATCCTTCCGAGGTGGGTAAAATGAGGACACAGATTGTTGGAGGCAATATGCTATTTAGTATACTGTCTTTGGTGTAAGCCACCCAGAGTCCTCGGAGAGTGGGCGGCATAGAAATATGACAAATAAATAAATAAATAAATATTCTGAATGTCAGCTAACATCTCTGTTCTTTCTTCTCCACCTTAGTGACCAAGAAGGAAAGAAACATCTGCAAGGGACAAAGACTTGGACCCTCATAGAGAGATGTATTTTCCCCCATAGTCTCACAGGACTCTTTATAGAGTTCTTAAAAAGTGACTATTCCTAACCAATATATGAAAAGTCATGCCTTCTAACCTGGCACTATCTCACCACATTGCTTAATCAGATGTATGAGACACAAGCAGAGTATGAACACTGCATTGCACTGTTTGTGTCCCAGCTGCCTCCAACAGTATGAATAACATACAGGTAATTCTAGATTTACAACCATTTGTTTAGTGACCGTTCAAAGTGGCAACAGCACTGGAAAAAATTGTTATACTGTTTTTTACACTTACAACCATTGCAGCATCACCATGGTCATTTGTTCAAAATTTGGACGCTGGGAAGCTGGCATGTATTTATGACAGTTGCAGTGTCCCAAGTCACCTTTTGCGACCTTCTGACAAGCAAAGATTAACAGGGAAGCCAGATTCACTTAACAACCATGTTACTAATTTAACAACTGTGCTTAACAACTGTGGCAAGGAAGGTGTAAAATGGGGCAAAACTCACTTAACAACCATCTTGCTTAGCAATGGAAATGGGCTCATTTGTGGTCATAAGTCTGTGACTACCTGTATTCTTCAGCATGAGTTTGCCTAATCCTATTTTGAAGGCCACAACTTGATACTATCCATCATTTAGCATAATTAAATGGTCCCAACTTCTAATGTTACACAGAAAAAAGAATCCTCACTTTTCCCTACAATTCTCAGTGATTTTGGCCTCAAAATCTGAGGGATACTGGCTCTCCCCATATCTTTCAATAATCATCACCTTAGAAAACTAATATTTGTAGCTTTTTTCACCTAAGTGAGTTGTTTTGGATTCTTGATAATTCTGGTTGTCACGTCTTCCTTGGTTTTCTGAGAGAAAACAACCAGTCCTCTCACCTTTCCATTATTCAGATGTGGAGAAAAAAGGATGAAGAACTAATAATGGAGCATCTTTGGGAAAGGAGCTGCAGCCAAACCTGTATTTGTAAATCTATTTTGGGCTGCACTACAGCCTATTGCAGCACTAATAAACTAACCTCACTGAGGTGCAGACAAAACCTTTTGTAGGGAGGGAAACTCCATCCCTGCTGTATTTCAGTGTTCCATCCTCTCATTCTAAAGTTATTTTACAGGATTAAATCACCTTTTACTTTCTCATAGGTTTGTCAAGTCACTCTTACTCATGGGACTGTGGAATGGGTGAAGAAGAAATGATTCTACAGGGGCAGGCTAGAGGCCTGAAGCTTTGCTGAATAAATTAAATTGTTGTGATAGTTGAAACCTAGGATAGAATAAGTCAGAAAGCATTGTTTTAGGTCACTAAATCCAGTGTTCTGCTCCATGCAAGAATCTAAATTAAAATGCTGAGTATAGCTGGAGTTGGACAAATAACACAGGATTCTTTTTTCTGGTATGTTTCTTTACTTCTCAGTTTAATCTACAGTCCTGATATTTCCTGATTGTATTCCACTGAAGTATTAAACAGGTCTGACTCCAGGTAGCTTTCCAAAATCAGCCAGGATCTACTGAAGCTGAAACACTGAAACTAAACTTTTGAAGAGCATTTTATAATTATGAAGCATTAGCAGCTTCTGGTCCTCTAGGTATTGATACAGAATTCTGGAACATCCTGTTGGAAGTACTTTAGAGCACATAATCACTCGTGTACAGGATCCAGTTATGACCCTCACATTGCCTACAGCAATAGAAAGGTCAACAAAAAGACCAGCTGTTGACTTCATTTCATTGGAACAAATCACATGTATCCAAGCATCTTCACTGCTTTTCACCTAATTCAAAGACTAGGTTTCTATATTGTGCTAAGTTAGACTAAGCCATGGGAACTTAGCCATTGTCTTAACATTCTGTGTGTGAACTAGGCCATCATTTGAGCCATAATATGGGTTTGTTATATATAAAAATAACAATTGGGTTTTGTTAGGATTTAGTGTATAAAGTGGTCCTGAGGTACATTCATAGCAATGCAAAAAGTGGGCAGAAGGACAACTCTTCAACTAACTACATAGCAGCTCCAGAGAATGAAGTCTCGGTGGAAGGCATGGCGTCTGGAAGATGCAGCTTTCCCAATGTCCTTCCACCTTGAAATGGATCTATCCAGAATTCTCACTGCTTTGCCTTTTCTTAGAAATTCTGCCTAGGAAGCTTCTCCCCACATTGCAATGGATGCCACTAATTCGGTGCAGAGCTTCAAAAAGATATTTCTTACCAGGAGATAAAATATGTGTGATGCTCAAAGAATAGAAATGAGTGCAGTAGTAGAACCTCACTTGCAGCCCTTCTTTGTGGTATTTATTAAGCACAGTGACTCCTCCCCCTGAGATGGAAAGAAGGGGATGGAGAAAGCTGGAGGCAAGTGAGATGACAAACTCTGCAAACTGCAAATATGAAGCAACAAACATAAACAATAATCGTTTTTACTAACCACAAAAATAATTGCTGAGTATCAGAAAGACAACTATTAGGAAAATAGACATTTCTCACAGACATAAATTACAGAGTACAGAAACAGAACAAACTGGCTTTCAGGCAAAGCCTTAAAGACAAGAGAAGTCACATTTTTTGTGGCAAGAAACACCAGGAACATATGAATGTCTACGCTCCCAAAATATCCCCACAAAAGTGCTAGACTTAGGAATGGATCCATGAAGCTCTCCTGTCCCTGCTGGTTGGACTTGTGGAGAGCCTGTATTGGCTAGTTCCAGCCCTTCCTTTGGTAGCTTGATGCTGCAAGACATTTCAAGGGACAGAGGGATGGGACTGGGATCCCAATAGCAGCTTGATCCTATTGTAAGGTCAAATGGCTTTTTTTGATGAGCCCCACTTTACACCTGACAAAAGGTATAAATACAGGTAGAAAAAAAGAGATCTAAACTTTAATGATGATAATAGGGGCAATAAACCATGGAAACCCCACCCATGGCTCATTGGACATGAAGTGTCCAATGGGGGAAGAAGTACCTAGCCATCTCTCAGAGAAATTGGCACATGCACATGAGATGGAAAAAGCAGGAGAAAATGCTTGGAAAAAACATTCCACAAACATTGTCCAAAAGGGATAGACTGACTGGCCTGACAACCATCCAAGGTTCTATAAGAGAACTCAGGATTCAGTAGTTGATATGCCAAGACGACAAGGAGTTGGAATGTTTTTAGTACCAGGAATTCTAGGATTCCTCACCTGGATCAGAACAGATCCCTGCTGTGTCTCCCCACTAGTATCTTTGTTCCATACAGTTCACAGGGCAGTCTCCTGAAAGACATAAGTATGAGTTCCATCTACCCTGGGGAATCCTTCAGATGCTTCAACTTCTTCTGTATTGACTCCCAAAGACAGGCCTTTTGTCAATCCATTTGCTACACCATTGTTGATTTTCTCCACTCCCAAAGAGGTTGGCTCTGAGCAATTAGCATCCTTTAAAAAAATTAGAAAGCAAAGATCAACTATCCTCAAGGCTTCTGGAACACTGCTTTTTAACACACTAGTATCGTAACATTCCCACTGCACTATCATACTTCATCCTCCAACTTGTACAAAACTATTTTAAAAATCCCTGCCACAGAGAAATTGCAGGAATTGATCAAATATGAAGAAACAAAGCTAAAGGCAAGCAGAGACTAAACAATGAGGTATGCAGCCACTAAATCCAAGAGGTTACGGGATCCGAAAAGGGTTTGCTGGAAAGGAGGAGGCTCTGAGGAGATAGGAATTGCTGGAAGATTCAAGAGAAGAGTTTGCTGGGATGGGTGGAGGGAGGGAATGATCTAAATTTAATGAGTTAATTGGAATTAGTTGGAATTTTATTGGTCTGAAAGTGAACTTTCAAGTATGCATGCTAAGAGAAAGTTAAAAAAAAAGATGTATTAGAATGTTTTAATTTTGGATATGTTTTTAAAGAAAAGCTTAGTGTTTTAAAATGGATGAAAAATATTTTCCCTTTAAGGTTAAAGAATCTAAGAATACAGTGAATTTTGTTAATATAAATGGTGATAATTTAGAGATTATTAAGTGCAAATAGAAATATATATTAATTCAACAGCAAGGAAGATATAGCAGTAATGGTTAAATTGATTGTTCTATTCAAAGAGGAGAATATAAGTTTTTTATTTGAATATCACTTCTGGACTTTGTGCTTGTGATGAAAAAAAATGAAAGTTGATTTTGCCGATTAGATAGATTTGTTGTTATAGAAATGGCCATTTATATACTAATGTGTAAAAGTAAAAAGTTGAGGTGGTAATGTTATCATACTGTGCTAAATAGAGTCAGAAGTCAATGCCTTTTTCTTTCTTCCCTTATACCTCATATTTTCTTTTCACCCTTTTTCCTTCCCTTAATTTCCTATTTTTCTTTGTATTTTATACATTGATAAAAAAAAAAAAAAAAGTTCTAAAATTAAAAATGCAAAAATGAGGAGATAGGAATTGCTGGAGGATTCAAGAGAAGAGTTTGCTGGGATGGTCAATACAGAAAGGCTGCATGATCAAGAGAGCACTACAGTATGCTGGAGAAGAGACAGCCTATCTTGAATGGAGCACAGAAGAAATGAAGAAGGAAACCAGGTGAGGAACAGGAGATGTTGTCCAAGCTACCAAGGAAAATTCATTTTTGGACAGAACCCCCTTTTTTGGGAAAAGCTGTCTTAGGAAACTCCCAGAAAATTATCTTTGCTTGTCCTCATACAGCAAAGCTGGCTGAGGAATTCTGGGAGTTGAAGTCCACAAGTCTTAAAGTTGCCAAGGTTGGAGACCCCTGCTCTAAAGCTTTTCTGCAATGAGTGCTTTATTTAACCTTCAGTCCACTAACGGGGTCATGTGGAAGAAAAACACTGCATTGTATTCAGGACTCCAAAGGAGAGGACATCCCAGGCACATC